CCCTGAGGTAGCCCTCAGGTACCTCCATCTGTGCCTGACTGTGGAGGGCCCAGTTCTTATGCAGACCCAGTGCAGGTATCTACAGCTGCTGTGAGTCTGTGACTGTAATGGCTGTTTTTCCCAGAAGATAATCTTGAAAGTCATTCCCCTGTCTTCTGCCACAGTATTCTCTGAACCACAGCAAGGATGATTAAAAATGTCTGTTTGGGAATGGGCACTCATCTGTGTTTACTCTTAGCATCTTGGAGAGCCATGGGTCTCTGCACTCACCACTCTTCACTGCAAACAATGGCCTCTCCCATTAAAGCTGAGATAAGCATTTATCTATGGGTAGAAACATATATATTTAAAAAGCAGCTCGACAGTGTTGATTTAGTCAAACAACACTATTCAGATACCAGTTTCCAGCACACATGACTCAGTACCTACATTCTATTAAAATCTTACACACTGGGAACTCCATTTATAAGAAAGATGAGACTGCTCACCGGTGTCCCATCGTTGCTTAAAATGTGTTCCCGATATCTCACTGTTTCCCCTCCATACCCTTGAGTATGGCAGTCAGTTTTGGGGAACAGTCACATGCCTTTATTGTATCTATTTAGGGCAGTGCAATACATCGTAGGATGGTAAGAAATTCTGGAAAGAATATGTTTACCAAGTCTAGAGAGGATTGCTGCAGGAAGAATTGGAATGAGGAAGGAGAGAGGTAGACATGATGTAAATACAGTACTTACATATGAAATTCTCAAAAGAATTAAAATTAAAAAGAGAAGGTGCTATAGATATAGTCAATCATATGCAAGATAACTTTATAGCCAATCATATACAAAATAACTCCTCATTCTCTTGGAATTAGAGTAACTTGTACATAGTGCTTTGTGAAAAGTTGACTGACAACAACGCTGGAGGAAATGCCAGTGTCCCACATGTTTATATAGGCAGGCTGCAATCTTAAGCACTTACCACCTTTAGGTCATGGATCTGATTTTTTCAATTAGTAGTTCTTAGCTAAAAAGCAGAGTGAAGGGCATCTAATTGGTCATATTGGTTGTCTTTAATGAATTAGCTTACAATTAGAGCTTCATTCAGCTGCTAGCTCCCATTCTTCATTCCAGAGATTAAAGAGAAAATTCTGTGCAGAATTCAGGCAGGCAGGTTCTTGGGGGAGAGCCTCAAAGGTGTTCTCTATCAACTGTGCTCCAGGTTACCCAGCTTGGAGTGGAGTATATACTCTCCTCCACATTCCAACAACAGCCTCTGACCCTAACTCTCCCTTTCAATATTTGAGTCAGTGGACACAGAAACAATTGGGAGATGCCCAGGCCAATGTAAAATAGTGCTGTTATTGGCAGTTATGAGGTTATAGTTTATGCAGAGAAATTGCAGAAGAGATAGCACTGAACTTGGTCATGGAAGAGATGCCAGTTATAGTAGCTTAGGAAGCCTACACCAACTGAGTAAAACCATAAAGCTGGATAGGGAGGTGGGTGTTCTTGTAGATTGGTGAAACTGAAGTAAGGTTGGTACTGAGGCTCCTGAAGTGGGCAGTGACTGAAGCGTTGGAAAGAAACCATGGGAGCAAAGACATGGCAGGTATAGCTGACAGTGAATGACAGTGGATAATAAGACATTTTGCTGAAAGCATCAAGAGATAAGATCCTGTAAAAGAGACTATGTTCTCCACCCAGATCTGGAAAGTAATGGAAGCAGTTCTTTACCATTTAATCTTGAGAACTAACTTTATTATTTCACACCCATGTTAAATAGCTACCCATTCATAGAATATTTGTGTGTTGTTTGTGTTCTGAATACTGTACTCAAGTCAATCAAGTACATGCTGGGTGAGCTGAGGGTTTCACAGTTGTGATCACTGTGGTACACGTAGAGTGTTGCTTGTCCAGTACATTTATTTTAAGAGTCAAGTAGTTGGAATAGTTTTTTGAAGTGAGCCACACTCCAGCAGTGTAGAAAATGGTTCATTTTTATGGGTGGTTTAAGGCACCCAGCATGGCCATCTTGGCAATTAGAAAGGAGTTGGTGGTCTTAAAACCTCATAAACTTTACATTTATGCTCAGCAGATATTTTACAAACTCTTCCCTAAAGGAAAAAAAAGTTTTGGAAAAGATTTAAAAGTGGGGTGGGCTTCCTAGAATCCCTGGTGATGTGGACCTATTATCTACTTAAAAGACATTCGTTGTTGTTGTTTGAAGTGTTGTGGGCAGAGCCAGGGAAACACACCAGCAATCAATATCTCAAACACACCAGCCATGGATATCTCTTGCTTTGTTGATGCCATCTCCAAAACAGTGCATTGTGCACACAAGAAGCACCCTCATTGACTTTGTGACCTTCATTTGCACCTTTGTGCTTCCTATTTCTCCAACTACTGTCTTTCTTATCAGTAAAGTGACATGGAAGAACAATACGGGAAAAAGGGGAGGTCTGTATATAACATGAAACACATCAGAAGTTTCATTTGTTTCCTTTATGGCTGCCTATAAGACTGATATACTTATTTTTGAGGTTTGATAATGTCATTTGTGTCTTTATTTAGACATAGCCTATTCCACTAGCACAGCCTGTGCTCATATGTAATTTAAAAATAAATAAATTCACAGTGATACTTTTAAGTTAGTGTCCAATTTTTACTGCTGCCATGTACTTATTAGGTAATATTGTGGATTTGGGGTCTGCTCGGTAATAAATCCCTTGCTCTTGACATTGGTTCTTAGATGATAAATGATACTCTTGTCATTTGCCTTCTCACTGGTATGTTCTTTTTGTACTTATATATTTTTTATTATTATAGCTTTAAAAATAATTTCTTTATGATAAGCAAAGCTCTCTATATGAAATTTGTTGACAGGTGGTTTCTATAATACATACCTAAACAATGGTGAAAGGCTGTTGAGTCCTATGATTCATGAGAGCTCAGAATATAAAACTTCATGTGGCCAAAATTGTGCCATGCTGAGTTGAGTTTATTACCACTGACTCTTAGCATCACTTTATGCCTCTGTTCTTGCTATAGAGCTCTGGCCAGCCTTGTACTCATTCTAATGACTTTGAATGTGGACTTTGAATGTGGCATTTCCTCCTGTTTGCTAATATGTCTGCTGAGAAATCTGTTGCTATATCACAATGGTTACCTAATGTGTAACTTGGCACTTTTTTCTTGGTGTTTTAGAATTCTGTCTTTCTCATGGGTAGCTTGACTACACTATGTCCTTTTGTGGTTTTTTGAACCTCCTGGACCTGAATGTCTGTATTCTTCTTAAGATTTCAATTATTTATGACTATTATTTCATCAGTTAGATTTTTTACACCCCCCACACACATACTCATTTGAATATTAGTTCATTTAGTAACATCTCCTAGGGCTCAGTTGCTTCCTTTTGTGTCTGAATGTGCTATCTCAAAAGAATTCTCTCCAGGTTGGGAGTTCTCCCTGCCCGGTTGCTGAGGCTCCTGACTGTGTTTGTTGCTGTTTTACTTACTTTAGCTCCAGGGTTTCTGTTTGGTTCTTTTTCCTAACCTTCATCACTTAGCTAAATTTGTCATTCTAATAGGAGCTGTTCTCTTAATTTCATTGAATTGTCTGTCTGTATTCTCTTGTATCCCATTTATCTTCCATGGAGCCATTCTTTTGAATGAAGAAAAAAATGTTCATTTTGTTCATTTCACTTGCTATTGAGTTCCTCCAATGACATCATGTAGCCTTGATTTTTTTCATAATTTTATGTATCTATATTTATATTTATTGTACATCTGGCAGATACCTTAGCTCCAATAGTTTTGGAGGGTAGCTTCTGTAGTAAAAGATTTTTTTCCAAAGATGATTTTTAGAGGGGTGTTTGATTGGCATATGACATGAACTTGGGCCCCACTTGAGTATAGCATAGTCTCATGATTTCATTAGCAATAAATGATGGTTTAAGACATGGTACATGTGGCATTAATGATATAGAACGGTCATTTCTATCATTATCTGACAATGGGAAGTGTGTGTGAGTCTGTCTGTCTGTCTGTCTGTCTGTCTGTCTGTTTGCCTGCCTATAGTTAGATACACACACACACACACACACACACACACACACACACACACACACACGAGTGTGTGCATGTATTTTCCTCTGGAAAATCACACTATGTAGTTGACATTTCTATCTTTTGTGTCTTATCACCTATCCTGTAATATCAGACCTTACAAAGTAGTGAGAAAACTTAGTTTTTAGTATCCAGTAATTTTGCGGTACTTAGATTAGCATAGAAGGACCTGGCCTGGAAGGAAGAAATTGCTGTCCCAGAATGGCATACTGAGCTTGGGAAACAACTTCTGGAGCCTCCTACCTGTTCCATGGCTTTTCTCCACCAGTAGAGGCTTAGGAACTTCAGAGAAGCTAAAATATTCTCAGCAAAAATTGTTTTGTTGGTGCTGGAGAGATGGCTCGGCTCAAAGGGTGAAGCACTGACTGTGTACGCCAGTGACCTGAATTTGTATCCTCAGAACCTGTGTAAGATCCAGAGACAATAGTGTGCATGCATTTGTAATCTCAGCATACTCCTGTGAGGAGCTGAGAGACAGAGACAAAATTCCAGGCCAACTAGCCTGGGAGAGATAACCTGCCTCAAACATGATAGAGGGTGAGGACCAAGATCCAAGGTTTTCCTGTCACTTCCATCTATATCCCTGTATTCTCTCTCTCTCTCTCTCTCTCTCTCTCTCTCTCTCTCTCTCACACACACACACACACACACACTCACACAAACTCACTTTCCGTGTCTCTCTCTCACACACACAGACTCTCTCACACACATTTTATTAACACAAGCATTCCATAGTCACTAAGTTAATTGTTACCTATGATAATATGCTCCCCAATTCAAAGCGGTAAGAACAGTCCTTCACATATTTAGCTCCAGCACAAAGCTTGACACGACAAGCACATTCTCCAAGTATATCCTACTTCTCTAACATGGTTTTATCTTCTGGCAGGACATTGATGGCCAGGCACTCCTACTGCTGACTCTACCAACAGTGCAGGAATGTATGGAGCTGAAGCTGGGACCTGCTATCAAGTTATGCCACCAGATCGAGCGAGTGAAAGTGGCTTTCTATGCCCAGTATGCTAATTAAATCGGCTGGCTTTCTTGGGGTGGTGCCTCATTCTCATGATGCTGTTGTATTTGTGAAGGTTTCCAGGACTGAGACCTTGATTTTCTTGGCTTTATGAAATGGTACATTCATTGAGGATCTCCAAAAGCCCGAAGCCCAGCACCTCCTTCATGCACCAGCCTTGTCTGATGGTTCTGTTTCTGAAGCACACAAAAGGACCACAGCAACGGTTTCTGGGACTGTAGTGAAAGTTCTGAGATAGAACCTCCCTGGCTCTGGACGTACTTCTTCATCTCCGAGTTTCATTTTTCTCCCACCCAAACTAGGCAGCTTCCTGTAAGCCAGGTTTCCTTACACTGAGGTCCAGGTTCTTGGAAAACTGAGATGGACTGAATGCCTCCAAGCAGAATCCCTAACTTGCTGGCAGCTTTGCCTGACTCACTCTCAGGCTCTTCTACAGATGTATCTGCCCCACACATGCAAACTACTGTGTTTTAGAGTCCCCTGCTGTCCCATTTGATGTCATTGACAACTCCTTTCTCCAACACAACTGTAGGCTCTGTTTCAGGATGCTTGTATAAAATGATGTGCTAAGCTCTGCCCTCTGTCAGAGGTGCCCTTTCACAAGTATGGCTGCTCACATTAGACAGCTACTGTGTAAGCAGAGCCCAGAACACTGGCAGTGGCAAGCACTCTCCATAGTCTCCTGCAGAACCATAGCTTCAGTGTTCTGAGATCACCGTAATCAGTTAAGAGGAGGCTAGTTTAGGGAAATACCAAATTGAAGGAAGAGCTTTCAGTGGGCAAGCATGGGAAGAGATTTGGGGAAGTGTTTTGTGAACTAGATGTTTCCACTTAGAAATGTTAACACAGCTGGTCACTGTAAAGGAGCCCTTCTGCACCTCTCTTCTGGCTTACCACATGTGAAGCAAGCATGAGAAAGCAGTAATGCCTAGCATAATATAGCAGAGCTAATGCTGGATCTGGACTCAGATAGTTTCCATCCTGACTTTGCTGATGACCAATGTCATGTCCTTAGGCAACTCCCCACCACTCTGGACTCAAGCTCCCATTGAAGGAAAAGTTATGACACTTAGTGGTGAGGCATTGAGTATATACATCTCCCCAGCTTTCTCCTTGTTCTTGCTGGAGGAGTCCAGGTGGGCCAAATGAGACAAAGAATTGGGCCACGGAACTTAACCTTCCAGTTCCGGCATTTCAATCTCTTCGAGGTTGCTTATGAAATTTCACTAAGTCATTTATAGAATAATGAGTGATTATAAAATTTGGCTGGTCTTTTTTACCCAGCACTTCATCTGTGCTTTCTCATGAGTGGTTCAACATGTGCTTATAAACCCCAAAGGACTGAAGTACATAATGACGTGGAGGCTACTTCCCTGTTCTTTTAAAACCATGCAAGGAAATCAAACTTTGACTCCATTGAGGAGTGCATGTTCATTGGGAAGCTTAACTATATTTCTATATCAATTTTATGTTGATCTTTTCTCCTTGACTAGAGAAGAGTCTAAACTGTCCCAAAACATGGTATGACAGGCTGATCGCTGCTTGTGTTTTGGTAACATTTTAAGGTGTGGTAATCTGCCAGGCTTTCAGAACTGTGATTGCTTTTGCTAACCATTCTCAAGATTGTGCAATGGTTGCTGATCAACCAGAAAACAAATTATTTGTGGTTGAGACTTTCCCAAAGCTGCTTTTCTAGTGTCGAGCTACAGACCTTTGGTGAATGGGTATGCATAGGGACAACTGGTGCGTAGGGACAATTGATGTCCTTTGTGGTGCTGTAAGGATGGAGCTGTCCCCATGCAGCTGCCTGCAAGGTTGTGTTGCAGTTGAATTTCTCTCTTCTAAGCTACATGTTGAACCTTCCTCCTTAGCCGTATGCTTTTGGCCATAAATGCTCAATGTATCTGTTGGACAGGGTATCTATTTCAAGGTGGTATAGCAACTCTCCCATGCTGACCCCTTGGTCCCTCACTGTGACCTTCTCAAGATGAGCTGTTTCTTTTGCATCTGAAACCAGGGTGCAGCTGTGGCATTGATAGAGCATGATATGCTTTGAGAACAAATGTCACTTTTTCATGCCATTTCCAGTAATGACAGCGAGGATCAGGTGTTGCTTTAGAACATGCAGATTTTTCTAGAGGTCTGTTGAGCCCACACAAAGAGCCAGAAGAACATTACAGAAAATCCAGTCAGGATATGGCCACCGTTGGTCAGAAACCCTTCATCCTATGGAACCAGAAATCCCTTTCTGTCCTCATCCTTGGGCCGTGCAGTTTAACATCAGTGTCTCTCTGCATGGTATCAGTCCCTTCAGCCTCACTCTTAGTCTTCAGCTCCAGCAAGGAAAGATGACATTAATCTTAGCAGAAGAGTGCCCAGCCAGGAGCCACCCTCATCAGAGCCCAGCCCTCCAGGAAAAGGGGATGGTCCTCCAGAGCTTTGGTCTGGGATGGCGTGGCGTGCTCATCATGCACACAGCAATTTTGTTACTACATTGTAAAGTGGGCTTTGTTTCTCTCTAGACTCACATCTCCCCTGCTTCTGTCTTAAACATGGGGCTGATTCCCAAGGAACAATTTGCTCTATATCCCCATTACTATGGCAGAAAAGGAAATGGATCTTATATACATTCCCCACATACCACCACAACCCATACACCAAAATAGTCTCTAAATACCGACAAATGGTGCCCTTGTCCTATTCCTTCCTGTACAGTATCACTTCATTATCTTTCTGATTCTCCTCTGGGACCAGAGTCCTCTCCTTCATGTACCCACACCTTGGATACATCACACCATTCATTGCCTCTTGTAACCAGCCAAGCAGACACCCTCCAGTCTGTGCCATGCAATTGAGGAAGGGAAACATCACCTCACCTTAAATAATGACAGTCTGTCATTTATTCCCACTCTAAAGTTTAGGGAGTTTGTTATAGTCCTTAACTTCCTGACTGCATTTGTACTGTATTATAAAAAAATTATCCTGTCCACAAAATAAAACATACCCTGATCAAAGCAGAGTATACTGGCATGGCATATCTTTGCTATTCACCGTGGTGTCCTTCGCCACAGCATCTAACCTAGAGCTCACAGAACAGGTCTGCCACTTTTAAAGATAGATGCCTTTGATCAGAGTTCAACTCACCAACGGTATTTGGTGTTTGAAATCAGCTCTATAACTATTTAAGTCCCTAGACATTATTTGATCATCTTCAAAAAATAATTTCCTGTGTTTTCTTTGATTTGCCTCAATAAATTAGGATGATCCACACCTTAACACTACCAAATCTGACCTTTACTGCCATCTTTACATGGTTCCTTTTGATCAGCCTTTTGAAGATAGGTCCCTCCTAATCTGTCTCAGAATTTTGAGTGTTCTATGAGACAAATACTGGGTTTGTTGTTTATGTTACACCAAACACCCCTTCCTGAGAGTTGTTCCTTAGTTTTGGAAGCACTCGGGGTTTTCATGCTTATTTTATATAACACCCATTTATATTTATTTCTGTATATAGAAAGAGAACAGAACAGTAGTAGATCTTTGTTGTGATTTGACATTGCTGCTTTTGGGTTAGGATAGTGAATCTAGGTTCCAAGTCCTCTCTATTCTGACTTTGGAGAGCTGTGATTGAGTGTGCAATTATTTGGAGGGAGAAAATGTAAATTAAGGTTTCTGTAGTGTTTATGGAAGAAGTCTCTGGAGACAGCTACTGCTTGTGTCTCTTTGGTGCAATAATAACTAGCAAGGAGAAGCTGAAATGCCGACCAGTCTAGTCTTACTTGCTCACAATTCCTTTCTGTTCACAAAGTTTCTGAAAATTACTCTCTTTAACTGGGTTAACTTTTTAAGTTGCTTAATTCTCGTAACTTTTAAAACTTTGGTGGTTTAGAGGGATCCAAAATATGATATTACAAAATGAAAATGTGGTATTTGTGACCCATTTAATTTACTGAAAAAAAATCTTTTTTTTTTTTTTCTGTCCTGCCTGGTCTCCTTGGGTTTTAGTTTTTAAAAGGCTTTGTGGTTTAAATGATAAATGATTATTCGGTTTTCTGAGCTATAGACTTCCTTGTTCCATTTTCTTTTGATGGCTAGGGCTCAGCACCAGTGAGGGTGTGGGGTCAAGTCATAAAACCAAGGCAGAACATCACTTTGGGAAGGACAAAGAGGAACACTGAAGAAGGAAAAGTCTAGAACAATCTTTTGCTAAAAATTACTTTATGATGAAAACTAATAGGAAGGGTTTTTTTTAATTTTTGAATAATAGAAAAGGTAAACATCATGCCTGTCATTCAGAATGCAAGCTAACATAATCTGTGTAAGCAGTCACTAACGGCGGGAGCCCTTTATCTTTCACTCTCCACTTTGAAAAGTTTGTATTGCTATTTGGTTCATATCTTGTCTTTGTTTTAGTGCATAAAAGAGAAAAGAATCAGTGTCTTTACTTTTGAAATTTAAAGGACAAAGGGCATGCTCTCTCAGTTTGTTGTAAGATTGTATTCTGTATATATGTTTCCATGTACATAAATGAAAATATATATCAGAGTTATATTTTAATTTTTATTCTAAATGAAAAAAACCCTTTTTACTTGAAAACATGGTAAACCACATTGTTAATAAAGTCAAAATAAATTCTATGGTGGTGTTTGTGTGTCAAAGATTATTGAATATATGTTTGGGGCTTGTATTTAGGTTATTTTTGCATTTCATTATAGCATCTGCTGTTAAGTTGGTTAGGACCATTGATCTCAAAGTCACGTCATTGTTATATTTTACTTAAGCAGCTTGGAAGAAGAAATGATTTGGGAAATCTAGGTAGGATTGCAAGCAGGAACTTGAAGCAGAAAACAGTGCTCACTTCCTCATTCATAGGCTCACACTTAGCTAGCTGCCTTATACATCCCAGGGCCACCTCCCTAGATCCAGGATTCACAAGTCTCCACCTCCACCAAACTGGGATGGCAGCACCATGGGGCTCAGGAATGACTCAGTTGGTAAAGTGCTTGTCTTGTGATCATGATGACCTGAGTTACATATTTAGAAGCCAAGTAAAAATACCTGTAGTTCTTTGGAGGTGGAGACATGTGAATCCCTGGGTCTCACTGACCAATGACTCCAGACTACCTGATGAACTTCAGTTCAATTGGAAACCCTGCCTCAAAGAAGATGGATTTCTGAGGATGATTCCAAAGATTGTACCCTGACCTCCATACAAGTGCGTACATGTGCAAATACACAGGAACAGGCACACACATTAAAATAGTATTGTTTATTTTCATACCATTCCTGGTCTTCCCAATTTCAATCATCTTTCATTTTCTAGGATTGCCTGGTACTTTGGAATAAAGATGGCTTTATTTCTATAGGAGTCCCATCTACTAACCATGTCTGTACATCTTATGTCTTGCTATCACAAATAAGTCTCGAGTATCCCAATAAAAAGAGAGAAACAGCTTGTTGCTGTGGTACCTTACCCCTGAGATCCCATGGGAAGAGAATCCTCTTCCTTGTCTGTCATCATGACTGGCATCACTCAGGAAGGGTAAGAGGGTAAAAGAAAGTTAGACCCTTAGTAATGCAGGTGGAGAAAGGACTCATTTCTCCTTCAATCCAATCTCAAGGAACTTATTTCACTTTAAATTCACTTGTGGTCCTGATGACATTCAAAAATCCACATATATTAATTTTAGTTAGTTTACTTATGGATGCTTTTAAAAAATAGATTGATAACATAGGTTCTTACTTTGAAGTTCAAAGTGCCTTCAAATTTGAAATCCTTCTGCCTCAGCTTTCTATATGCTGAGATTATAGGTGTATGCCACCATGCCTGGCTCACCTGAGAGAGTTTTGTTTGTTTATTACTGTTACTTAAATAAGTAAAAGGCTTTAATAACAAAAGCAGAGTCTTAGAAAGCAACATACCAGCAGCAGCAGCAGATAGAGCTGAGTAAATACAGCCATCATATTTCTATTTATACTTGAATATCCTTGAAAACAGAAGTTTAAACACTGACTAAATGAGAAGTAAAATCTGAACACTTCCAAATTGAATAAATCAAAGCAAAGGAATTCATGTTGTCATGAGAACCCTATTTTTATTTTTTTAATTCTGCTTAGCCAGACTGTGTACAACTTTCAGTTCACTGCAAGTTATTTCTCCTTTGTTCTGAGGTTTGTGGCACAACTGTTTTAAGTCTATAAGAAAGCACAATGCCTACTAGAGATTCAGAGAGTATATATTTTAAATGCTGATTGTGTGAACATAACCTTGGGTGACTCCGTGTGAAAATCAGTGAGCTACAAAGAGTTTTTGGAATCATTTCATGAAGACATATTTATGACATTGGCGCAGGCGTGGATCATAGCACATCTCTGTTGAATGTAGTTGTTATGTCACAGTTTTGTTTAGTGTCATTTGTAGATGGTTTGTTCAAATACTATATCATGGTTATAAATAAAAGGAAGGTTTGCTTTGTCATTCTGATGACAGCTCAACATACAATGACCACTGCTGCTGTGTTTTCTCACTTAACCTCAAGACTTGTTCTATGTTAAAAATTGCCTTCTTTGCTGTGAAGTTTTGAAATAATAAATATGGTGACACATGTTATATAAACATCTACAAACATATTAGTCATATATATGTACATTATTTATAAATATGTAGGTGAATATGTATGTGTATATGTATATATGTATCACAGATCATGGGTGTGTGTGTGTATCTACATTTGTGATAAGTGTGTATGTGTGTAGTGTGGGGTGGTATACTAATAGAGAGAACTCAAGACAGAAACAGATAATGTTGAATAGGGGAAAGCATACAGATATTAAGTGTTCTACTGGCTTCAAACACTTATTCCATCCCTTTCCTGTTACATAACACAAAACTTCAGTTTTCTATAAAAGGTAAGCAGTTATACGCCTTTACATGGTCAATAGGATTAGACATAAAATAGATTGTTGTGTGATTCTTAGCCCAGAGTAGATGCCTCAGATTCCCACCTTCATGCATCATCAATTCCTGGGTCCCTGACCATTTACCCATTGCAAAATCCTGGCCACCTTTGGTATGACTGCATCATACTCATCTTGTAGGTACCACTAACTAGATAGGAAGACATAAACAAGACGGAATGCCAGAGTGTCTTGGCACTATTGGTGCTGAAACCAGAAGCTAGGAATGGGTAGGTATAGTAGAGATGCCATGCAATTAGGACTGGAGCAACTCCAGCCTCTTTCTAACAATATAGTTCAGAGAGACATTGATTGTCTCGAAATCTGGATTTGCCACAGTGTTTGATGGCATCATGTCAGTTGGAACAGGTTTATAAGAATATCAGCAGGCTTCGTCAAGACAGAGGCAGTAGGTGACCCCTACTGTATAAATATGTTTAGATACATGTTACATGACTAAAGATTTTACAAGTTCACTGGATTGTTCTAAAAGTTCTCCTCCAAATGATATGTTGTGTTTTCTACATTTTGCTTATATCAAAGGCATAATACATGGCTGGCCTCAAACTTGTGTTAAGGATAACCTTGGACTTCTGATCCTCCTACCTCCACCTATAGAAAGCCAGGGTTACAAGCATGTGCCGTCATACCCAAATGATGAGTGTTTTCATTACTATCCTTAAACTTGATTCCTAACATCACTGCCTTCTTTTATGATGATTGGTGAACACTTTGAAACCTTGGACTTCTCAGCAGATGCAAGTTGTATATAATGAGAGTTCTGCTATATCCTAAGTATAGAAAGACATTGGACATAGTGGGGTTATTCATGGACTTCTTCATGTTTTCTCAGCACCAACTTATGTTTTCTGGGTAGATACAGATGCTTAATCTCCCAACACTATCAACTTCGTGGCCTCCCACAAGGTCATTGCCAGCTCCATGGTAACAACCACAAACCACACTGGCATTCGGAATCCATGTACCTGACAGATGAAAGCTTTAGTTCCATGTGACATAAAGGAGTGTTTCAGGTGACAGAACTTGGAAATGTTTAAGGAGTAACCCCATAACTTTCATCAATTACGTATAGGCTATATTAACAAATCCCTCCTCATGACAGTCATCCCTCGTATGGCTGCTCTGCAGAGTTTGTCCAGAAACAACGCACAAGCTTCCACCTTCTGTTAGAATAGCACTCAAGCTCACAATGCACTATTTTCATTTAGTTTCCAATCCTCTGTGTCTAACTTTTCAGCTTGAAATTACTTTCTCTGTCCTCAGTTTAGAAGCTTTTCCTTGGGGTCTCTTTTCTAGGAAATTCAAACAAAATATGGGCATTTACAGGCACCTACTATCATAGTCAATGTGCAAATAATAATGAAATACCCTGGCCATACCTCAGCAGACCTAGAAACACCAGCCTTCTGTAATTGGGACACTCATCATACAAGTCTTTTCAGAATTAAGACTTGGGTTAGAGGTGAAAAATTTAGAGTACTCTTTCTGATTATTAAAGCCGTATGTTTGTATTATAGAACATGTGAAAGGCAAAGGTGTTATTAAGTTGCCCATTATCTCATTATGTTCAATTATAATTTCATCATGTTTGCATTTTTATTATATTGAAATTAAGTTATGTATACCATCTGAAAAATTTTCACTGTATTCTGCAATCATCCTCCATGAGGTGGCATTGATATTTTTAAATATTAGCACTTTTGTTTTTAATGCACTTTATTTTAACCAATTAATTTCATTCTTTATCACTATCCTGTGAGTGTATAATGCATCCTAACGACTCTATCTCACCATCTCATCTCCCTTTCATCCCTGTCACACCCCTTTTCCTCTAACACCCCCTTTCCTAGATTCATGTGTTTTGGTTTTATTTTATGACCCATTATCTAGAGCCATTTGGGTGACACTGGATGGTGACACTTCTATTTTAAAAGCTTCAATAAGCATATGCATAATCCAACATGATATCAAATGTCTAGGAGTTTCCCACCTGGAATCCAAAGATATTGACATTTTGCTATGTTTGCTTCTGATTTATATATTTTGTATCATAAAGTCAAACTCCCTACATCTCACTTATTCTATCTCTCTTCTCTGTATTTCAGAGATAACCACTATTGCATGTTTTTATGTCACTGTATCTCAATATAAATCTTATAATAGATCCTACTTATGTGGGTCTTCAAATTAGTGGTGAATGTCACTTCATCATGTTGCTTATGTACTATGCTCAATTTGCTTCTTTTGTTCAGTATTGCATATATGTCATTTATACATGCCTTTAATTCATTGATTTGTTTTCACTATTTCATAAATTTCAAAGAATATGTATCATGACTTGTACATCTATTCTATCGGTAGACTTTTGTGAAGTTTCATAGATGTTGCCATGAAAATTGTCTGTGTGTATTTTTCTGTACACAAGTATCAGGACAGAATTAATGACCACTGGGGGAGATGGAGTCACATTCCTCAGTGGTGTAGGCACTGGTAAGTTGGCGTTGCTCAAGTAACTCCCCCTCATGCTCATGCAGGCAACATGATTGAATTCAGTAGGTCACCCAGATTTTTGGGAAGGAAGAAGGGGTTTGATGGGGAGGGAGATGAGAGTATGATGGAGAGAATACAATAAAAGTACATTTATTCATATGTGTCTGATATTGTAAA